CATCCCTGACCCTGAAACCCGCACCCTGACTCTAAAGCCTCGACCCCACACCCCGATGTTTCAATACCCTAAGATATGGCGAGTCGGATGAACGATTAATTGAATCAACGCGTTCGGGGTTGAGTGTTTGGGATTTTGGGGGTGTAGGGCAGCGGGATTCTTCCCATCCCATGTGTTTGACACAATCAGTGGGGCATTATAGAGGCCGGGCCGTCCCAGCACCTCAAACCACAAGCCGCAAACCGCAGAGGCATGACCATCCAGTATGATGAGCATCCCGCTGTCAACGTGGTTGACTTGATTGGCAAGGCCCAGCCCTCGCACCCCTAAGCCCTAAACCCTAAATCAACCCTAAGCCCCCCAAAAAACCCCTAGCCCCAAAACCCTAAAATCCCAAGCCCTAAACCCTGATCCCTAAATCCTAAACCCTAAGCCCCAAGACTACAACCCAAGTCTTAATAACGCCTAAACCCCAATCCCAAGGCCTTAGACCCCAATCTTAAGCCCACAAAGTCCGAAGCCCGAAGCCGGGCTAGCCCAGCTCCTGGCGGGAGGGGAAATCCGGGTAAGGGTTCGCTGTTGGGGTTCAAAGGTTGGAGCCCCTTAACCTTAACTTGAAGAGGCCTAAGCCCTAAACCCCAAACCAAAAAAAGCCCTAAGGCCCTAAACCCTGAACATGATCGAAAGCTCCAGAATCCCAAGTCCTGCTGCTTGAAGTTCTGGTCGGATTCTACAGGGTTGCTGATTTAGGGTGTAGCGTTTAGGGTATAGGGTGTAGTGTTTAGGGTTTAGGGTTTAGGGTTCAGGGGGGTCGTGGCTAGCTATGAGATAAGTAGGGCTAGAGGGGCCTCAACAATAAGCAGCTACAGTTACAGTTACCCTCATGGAACCTAGTCAGTGAGTCGGTCCGCTGAGCCGACAACTACTGCCTCGATACCCGAGGAGTACCTTTCAGACTATGAAGCCCGACACCCTAAGCCCTTATAGTGGCTTTGAAGCATCAGGGTTTAGGGGTTTGGGGCTTTCCTCCTGTGAGTACCACATAGCAATCTCTGAAGATTGACCGCACGTACCAGGATCTACACTAAACGCTTAAACCCGAAACCCTGAATCCTTAAAGCCCTAAGCCCTGAATCCTTGAGCCCTAAACCCTGAATCCCTGAATCCTTGAGCCTTAAGCCCGAAACCCTGAATCCTAACCCTCGAAGCCCGTTTAAACCCTGGATCCTACAAAAGCTGATCTCCGACGACCCAGCAAGAGGAGCCTATGGCTTCCTTCTCCGTAGTACTTATATGGGTAGTTCTCTAAATTAGGGTCCTTTTAGGGTCCCTTATATAAGGGTGGTGTCGTATATTGGGGACCAAAAAAGGGACCCTAATTTAGAGGACTACCCATATTATACCCTGTAGTCGAATGTAGAGTTTAAGGGTTTAGGCACTTAGGGCTTCGGGTTTAGGGCTTAAGGGACTAGGCGTTTAGTGTAGGCTAGGGTTTCGGTTTCGGGTGCAGGCGTTTAGTACTTGTAGGATTTAGGCTTAGGACCGCAAAAAACATCACCTGGACATACAGACTGAAAGAACATGTTTCACCATACTGGGATACCGCAAACCCTGAACCGAAAGAGCTCTAAACGAGAATAAAGAAGGGCACCGGAACCTGAGCAGCAGTCATGCCTTCAGGCTCCTGAAAGGGTTTCAATTAGCAAACCCCCAAAGCCTGGGTGTTTGGGGTTTAAGGGATGCAGGGTAAAGGGTTCAGGGATTAGTACCAGAGGGGTTTAAGGAGGATTTAGAGCTTAGGGTGTAGAGGCTTCCCTCTTTCGCTGACCAATGAGCTTCCCCGCTTCTAGCAGCGCCTTGACGGATGCGGGGACTTCCGATTGCGGTGATGGTGGTTATACGGGTAGTTCTCTAAATTAGGATCCCTTCTTGGGTGCTGAATATAGTACGGCACCTTTATAAAACGGACCCTAAATTAAAAGGGACCCTAACTTAGAGAACTACGCATATAGTCGCGATATCGGATATTGCTTCCGCCTTTCGTGATGAACGTGGAGTTCTCACAAAATGGAACAAGCCTGAACGGTTAGACTGGTATTTCCTTGCAGGGTAGGAGCATCGTAGACCTTGGGAACCCCAAACTGTCCCCCAAAAGCATCCAAAAGCCGAACCTCCAGCAACTGGACCCCAAATCGAAATACCGAAACCTTCCACAAACACCCTAAACCCTAGTTGCAATTATCCCTGAAGCCCTGCCTAAACGCTGAACCCCTCGGACCCTCCAGAAGCCACCCTTAACGCAGCGGTCCGTCGGCCCGGAAACCATTCGAAGAGCTCTAGGCCCTATAATACGGTTTAGGGTTTACGGTTTAGGGCTTAGGGTTTTAAGTTTAGGGTTTAGGGTATAGTAATACCCTGAACCCTAAACCCTACATTAATCCCTTATCACCCCTATCGTAACCCCTAGAGTCACCCTTATAAGGGCAACCCACTAGTCACCCGTCAGCCCTAAGCCCTAAACTTTGTAAACCCTTGACGCCGCCTAAACTCTAAACCCTTACAGACACATTGAAGGTGGTCTGGCCGAACATTGAACTCGCCCGGCCCTCATTTAGCGCCAGGGTCGGTCGAAGGCGTCCAAAGCATGTGATGCGTTAGGGTTTAGGGTTCAGGGTTTAAGGGTTCCGAAGTAGAGTTCTGTAGGGGGGCGTTAAGGGCTCGAGAATCTGCATGTTCAGGGATAATCATGACATAGTTTTCACGGCCGAAAAAGGGATACTGTTATGCATTGCAACGAAATCTCAGACCTCTAAGACTAGGAGTTTATGAGCTCATAGACCCTAAGCCCTGCACCGACAAGGTTTGAGGAGTGTCAATACGATAGGATGGCCGTCCCTAAACCCTAAACCCTACACCCTAATAGGATCGCCGTCCTTGACCGCAGGCTTGGAAGGCTGCTTGTCGGCTCCTGCACACTACAGCCTCCAAGCATACAAGCAAGAGCTCTAAGAAGCTTAGGGTTTAGAGTTTAGGGTTTAGGGTAGCTGAGTCGATCTCTTTCGTCCTTCCTCGCACTCTCTCTCTCTCTCTCTCTCTCTCTCTCGCTCTGTGGTTTTCTCCTCATTTAGCTATTTCTGTCCCTCCAACGCTGAGAGATTCAATCAGCCCAGGGTTTGCACACCGCCATGTGGGGTTTCTAGGATGGTTGCCTTATCGGAGCAGGCTCATGGTGTAGGGTGCAAGATTTAGGGCCATTGCTTTTAGGGCTTAGGGTTTAGGGTTAGATGGACAGCCGCCCGCATTGCCCTAAGGACTCCAATCCATGGCAATGGTTGTAAACTTTTGGTTTAGGGTTTAGGGTTTAGGGTTTAGGGTTTGGCGGTTGTCAGCCGCCGTAGTGCAAGGCTTGCACAGTATGTAGTGGCTTTGTTTGTAGCACTTGCAGGCTTGACATCAGAACAGACCCCGCAAGCCAAGTTTCCAGGACTCCATCTTCATTCTTTTAAGTAGACTACGTACCCCAAGCCGCTGAAAACCCTAAACCCTAAACCCTAGCCTAACTACACCCAACAAGCTCCGAGCCCAACCCAGCTACACTGTCATACATCCCAGGACTCGAAGCCCCGAAACTTGAGCACCCACTTTCATGCTACTGAGCCCCTGAGACTAAACCCCAACTTAGGCATCGGACTAACCAGGAATCAGATTCCCTGGAGTGCTAGGGTTTAGGGTTTAGGGCATATCATTAGTATACCATTCCCAGACCACCGGAAGGATCTAAAAAATAGATCCCATAAGGGTGTTCCTTTTAAGTACCCCTTAGTAGCATGGGGTCCCAAATTAGGGGATCTACTTGTTAGATCTTTCCGGGTCTGGGTCATTCTGCCCCTGTTGCTGTTCCGGGTCGCGGGTCGGACAGCAGAGGCTTATTCTAGTTTAATTCAAGGCCCCACATGGGTTCTTTTAAAAGGGTCCTTTTTACAAGGGTGCCG